ATCAACCATTGAGGCCAGCTTTCTAAAATATCTCGAAACATAGCGAAACGGCCAAACTGGTGTAAGATATCCTAATAAGTTATTTTTGATACTTATCAAATAAATATAAAAATTTTATGTGATAAAAAGATCTATACACTAACCTGAGAATGAGGTTTCATAAAGATTGTTTCTAATATGGCGCATACAAAATACGATACACCTAATAATTGAAGAACACCGGGAAAACGAAGATCGTGTAGAGATTCACTATCCTTTGAATTCAATATTAATCCAAGAAAAATCAATATTGCTGATCGTCGAAGACAGTATAAAGTTATTTTAATACGTGAAGTTGTTAAACGAAGTTCTGTGCGTTTTGAAACAGTTATCATTAGTCCCATAATCCATGCAAACCTGTAAGTTATTTGTTACATTATTTAGAATATTAATTATGATACAAACAATTCCCAATTTTCCCTACCAAGGAAGTACTAAATCAGCTATTGAAAGTCCAAACCATGCACTATGATTGAAAAAGATGTATTTTCCTCCTCCATTATTCACAAATATCATCAATAGTACAGCAATTCTATAATAAATAATTCTAATATAAATAATACGAATCTGAAATGACAACTATGAAGAAAATATATGAAGAATATAAAAATACCCTCTGAATGTGTCTACTGAATGTATTCTTGTACTGAATTTTGTAGTTCTAACTACTAAATTTATTGCATTTTCTGCTTCTTGAAGTCTATCTAAATCCTAAAATGAAATTGAATAAATGAAATATAATAATTAAAAAAAAAAATAAAAAAATAATAATTATAATAATATATATATTAATTATTAAAAATATAATATATTACATCATAAATATTATTGGGTGATAATTTTCCTCTTATTACTCGTATAATAACTTTAAATGTTGTCCATAAAATTGCTAATAAAACATATATTATAAAAGCTGCCAAAATTGCTGTAAAAGAAATAATATCTATTATTTCTCTATTAATATTATATAATTAATTTTAAATGCAATAATATATTAAAACAACTTACGAAGATAGCTCTCTGTTGGTTCATGTAATACATAAATATTAGAACACAAATAAGCACCTGATATATTCCATCCATAACTACCATGTTCTTTGAAAGTATAAGTTGTACTATAAGAAAGATAAAAAAGATAATTTGATATAAATGAAGAAACAAATATATATTAAAAAAAATATATAATATAAAATATAATATAAAATGTAATATATATAACAAATATTATATATATTTAGAAAAAAATACTTACTGACAATATTCATAAACTCTGTCAGCTTCAATAGATTGATAATATATATGTAATGGATATTTTGTGCTTATTTTCAAAGTTGTGTTACTATGTGGTTCTAAAGTAGCTATTGGAATACCATTTCCCTATAAATTAATAATTATAATGAAATCTAAATGTTTATTTATATAAAATATATAAATTAATTTAAAAAAAAAATGAATACATACTGTATAAGCTTCCCATGCTATTGCATAAAATATAACAGGATTAAGATACAAATTTAAAATACTGAAATAAGCTTGATCTATACCAAGTGAAGTATTTGAATTTAAATAAGGATTCAGGGTTGAGTTTATCATTTTGAAAAATATATTCTAAAATTTGAATTTATTTAGAATAATTGTACATTTGTACGAGAAATTATATTTTTACAAATTCTTTCTTAATTTATTCCATAAAATAGAATCATAACTGAAATTAAATATACAATATTAAAATAAATATATTATATTATAATTATTGTTATTATATTATTTTCATTACAAAATATAAAAAAATATAAAAATTTTTGGAATATATACTTATATACTTTGATTCGTATAGTTCTTCGAAATAATCCATACACAAATTATTATTTTGACATAAATTGAAAATGCATTTTAACTAAATGCGCAATTTCTTTTTTTTTGCAAAGATTGAAGTATGTGAAAGAAATATGAAAAAGAATATATGATCAATTAAACTTCGTCATTTTTTAAATAAAAAAATTATCTAAATAAATTATTATTTAAAAAAATGACAATCGATTGAAAGACATGATCAAATATTAAAGAATATTTAAATACAATGTAATTAATAAAAACAATCACAAAACATATTAAACTGCGAATGAAACTTTTTGTTTCAAAAAACCAACTGTGACACTTAAAGATTAAAAAAATAATTAATCTATCGAATTGTTATATTTACGTAATTTCGTTATTAAAGAAACAAAATTGTTGAATGTTGCTTCGTTGATACAATATTGATGGATACAGGAAAATATGGCGGAAGCCTCTTATTTTTGTTAGTATGGGTAAAAATATATATAAATATAAATAAAACTATATGACAAAGTCTATATTGTCATCTAATATTTTATTACATGTATTTAAATATTTACATTCATAATTGATTTTAGTATTAATTTCAATTGAATTTAGTTTGGAATATTAAATATATTGAATTTTTTATAAATTTTGAAGAATAGAATCAAAAATTTTTAAAAATTAATAATTAGAATTAATTAATTCAAAAATTATATCTATATATGAAACTTTTGTATTTTTTTTTCATATTGAGTTTTTATCCTTCAATTTAATTAGACGATACATTAGTGCGCCAAATTTAAATTACTTGCAAATATATTATAAATATTTTATATTTTATAATGCATAATTAATAGAAAAAATTAATATTAATATTATTTTTTAAATTTTATTTTATAATTTATAATTTTATAATATATATTATTATTAATATATTAATAATATATTATTAATATTAATATTAATGATAATAACAATATATAAATTATATTGATAATATATAAATGTAAAACAATACAATACAAATGAAACAAAAAAATCAAACAATCATGAACAATGAAATATTTCATTATTAATTTATAATATTACATATAATATATTAACAATACTGTTTATCGATAATTCTGAGTCATTCCCTAATTAATAAAGTTACAAACTCGAGTTTATTTTTAATTTATCTTTATTTAATTTATCTTATCTTTTTCTAATTTATATACAAAATATTTATTTAATGCAATTTGATCCTATTTTTAATCTTATTTTATAAATTATTATCAATAAATGATTATATTTCAAGATTAATTTATAATGAACATTTATGGTAAATATATATATATATATATATATATATATATAAGAATTCTAAAAATATAAGAATATCATTTAATTAATATAATAAATTCCGTAAATAACTTCAACATTTTCCTTTGTAAAAACTTTTATTTCGTCTTTGTTAACAAAAAATATTGGCCAATCATAGAATGCATAGAATGGTAGAATGCAAAGTGAACTAGAAAATTTAGTATTAAATTCGCTAAAAAAGTAACTAGTTAAAATTTTGAATAAAGTTACTTTAAAATAGTTACTTTACTACTTTAAATTAACTAAATTTTGTAAATAATTTTATTTAAAATGCTTGAATAATATTTATTCGTAGTTATTATAATTGATGTAACATCGGTTGATTTTTCGATGCTTTGAATAAATTATTGAAGAAACTTATTATTGAAATAATTTTATTCTTAATTTCATTTAAATTTTATCCAACTGCGACACGACGATAGTATTGGATACGTATCTCGTATTTAAACAAACAAATCCAAACAACACGTGTCAAAAAAATTACAAAATTAATAAATAATTTGAATACAATGAATATTTTTTTAATGAAAAACAATTATATCGATTTATAGCTTATTCGAATAATAAATAAATTAATTAGTTGCTTCGTTTAGGATGAATATCATTCATAATTCGTTATTCAAAATGAATCAAGAAAAATTAAGGTATAAAATTTTTTTAACAAATTTTTTGAATAATAAATATATATATATATAAATTATAACCTATATTAAATTGGAAAACAATCAATTAATCATCTGAAAATTGTATATATTAAATATTTACATATATAAATATTTAATTAATTTCAATATTTTATAGTAATACTTAAAAAGACAATACATATGTACTATTATTATTTTCAAAATTATTCAGAAAGAATTAATAAAATATGCTATTTTTCGTCCACGATTGTAAAAATTGGGATATTATTGACAACTCGCAGCGATTGTTTATAAATATGCGCCCTTGAAAAATTTAAATAATCAAAATCAAAAAGATAAATAACTTTACAAGATTAAATATCAAATGCGAAAAGAAATTGATTAGCCAAGTACTGAGAAAAAATGTTAAAGTTGCAGAAAAGCATGTTTGAGAAGAAGAAAATGAATTCCGAAAAACAGAAATGCAAGAAAGATCAAGTATAATAGTCAAGTATAATAATCAAATAGAATGATTCCTCTTTATGTATTCTGAAACAAAGTTCTATTTTCTTTTTCATCGATTACTTTTTTTTTTTTACGTTTAACAAAATACAAAAGAAATTCCAAATTTTAATTAATTATATTCGAATCATATTTTGATTCCAATATTCCAACATTCAGATTAATTCTCAATTATCCAATTTATTGTATTAATTTCGAGAAATTTTTGTTAAGAAATTAATTGATTTAATTTATTTCAATTGATTTTTACAAAATGAAAGAACAAATAATTATAAAAATATTCTAAAATAATAAAATAAAAATTGAAAAATATTCTCGAAGTAAAACAATGCAAGAATTAATATATAATATATATATTATAAATACTTTTAATATATGTAATATATATTAATAAATTATTCATATATAATACTATAAATTATAATATTATATATAAAATATTAATATAAAATATATATTATAATATTATAATATTATAAAATTTATTCATATATAATATATATATAATAATATATATAATAATATATAATATATATATATATATATATTGCTCATCCGATAGTGAGTGATAATGATGATAAGCTATAATTCCTCACTTATATAAAGTATAAATATACAGTACGTCCAAGAGTACATCATGTTCATAATTCTGCTTTACCTGATTACTCGTTCCACTATTTATTTTTCGAATTACTTGTTTGAGAGAATGTATAAAATCGACCATAATCAGCCAAGTTTGAACGAATCGAATGAACCCAATAACGAGGTAAATGTTACATTAAGTTGAAGTTTCACACGTTTTCTATCTTGCTTTGTGCAAAAAATATATGTATGAAATCATGCATATTTGGAAAAAGTGATATCCGCATTAATGTTTAAACAAACATTTATTATTGTTGCTTCATTCATTCATATTGTCGATCATTTGTTCAATGTGCATTTTTTTTTTTTGTTTAGTGAAAAACGACCTTCAAAATCACTATCACATGATTATGATAATGATAAACTATAAGAAACACTCGATAATTTTGAAGCTGAATAGATATATTCAGAATAGATATATTGATCAGGATATGAGACAATAATTTATATTTTTTTTCAAATAATTCCTACGTTTTATTTCGAAGCTTTTATTCTGCCTTTCAGTATGGGAATACATGTATACATAAAATGATATTCATAATCATAATATATATAAATTTTTTTATAAAAAATTATATAAATATAATATAAATTTTTATAAATTTTTCATTTATATATTTATAGAATATTATTAGGAATACAAACACGTATTCGCGTACATTCCCGCCTAATTTTCATCATTGGCGATGGGGGTATCAAAGCTTCTGCAATGCAAAAGGATTTAGAATCATTTAAGTTAATAACCTATTTTTGTTTTATAGCATATTGAAGTAATCTTATATTTTATCAAATTGTTCAAAAATTACATATAATTAATATGCAGTTAATATTCAAAAGTTTAATTTTAATAATTTGAAAGAAAAGAATCTAATAAAAATTTAATTCGAATATTTTCATATCGGAATATTAGAATATTATAAATTCATAATAGAATTCTAAAACATACATGTACGTATATCGTTTCTCTTTATTGCTTAGATTTTTGTTATCGTCGATTATTTTTCTGCAACTTTAAAGTGAATCATGTTTTCTTTATGAAAATTATCGAATAACATTATTATCGAGATAAATGAATGAATTGAAGATATGGAAACAAAGAGAAACCATGTTGATTGAATTTGAAAATAAACAAAATGTCATTGATCGAATTGAAAAATTATTCGAACGTATTATAATTGAAAAAAAAAATATGTACGTAATTTGTTTCTAAAACTAGAGATTTAAACTTTAGAGAATTTAATAAATGCTATTAAATAAATTGCTATTTAATAAATTTATTGTAAATATCTTTTGTTTATGAAAGTAATGAAGAACGAACTGATAATTGCGAAATATATAAATCCTATTGTTTTCTCATTTGTTTGTTATTGGATCGGAAGTGACTTATTCTTTGTTCTTTGACTTATTCTTATCAAAGTATTAGATGTGAAAGAAAAAAATTGATAATAAATAAACATTAATTAAATTTTAATCAAAGATTAATAGATACATTCTATTGTATATTGAATGATGAAACTTATCATTATTCACACATAAATATATATTTTTAATACTTAAGATAATTGACTTAAGATAGTTAATAAAAAAACGAATTTAACAATTAATTTTTCCTCCTTTTTTTAAAAGTCGTAAAAGTTATCATTTTGAATAATTTTTTTCTTTTATTTATACAATATAAATTATCAATTATCAGTTTTCGAGTTTGTCTATTCACAAGAAATTATTGCTATATTGTAACACATTGCACGATACACAACTGCTACTTATCCTATTCTTTAGCTAAGAATATAATTATATATATATATTAGATTCAGAATGTAATTGAATTAATCACGTAAGTCAACTATTAAATGTCGAAATTTCAAATCAAAATTTAATTTGATCATCGATAGAAGATGTATACTCTTTAATTTAAAATATATTCTTTAATGAAAAGTTAAATTAATTACGATTCAAATTACGATCTTATAGAACCAATCATGATTATTTCCAATCATGATAATTTTGAAACTTTTAACAAAGATTGTCTCTTTGATTCTTCGCGTTGTATCGAAATTAGAAAACGAAGTATTTTGAAAATATGGAAAATCGAACAAAAGACAATACAGCTTTTTGCCATTGCAGAAATCCGTTTTATCATGTTTTATAGTTTTTTGTTTGATAACGTGTTCATTTTATCGTAAAACTATCAAGATTTGAAAAAAAAAAAAAGAAAAAAAAGAAAAGATCACGTGTCGAAGAACGATAGGTTACGAATCGATATTAGATATTATATGATACCAGAAATTGAGATAATTTTAATGCGATACATAATATTATAATAATGAATATAATAATATAATAATGCCATTATTATTCTTATTTTCTATTTCTTCAATTATTGAATTATCGATCAATTTCAAGCATTTCTTTAATTTCTTATGATCATTGAATCACATTTGGATGACTTCGTCATCCATAATTTTCTGAACTTAACCTAAATTTCTATTATCGTTTTTAAATCTTCTTCTCATAAATAATACTTTTTCCTCTTTAAATTTAATAGTAAAAACATTCGATTCGTCAATATATAACTTATGTACACTATATGTATACGATCTTATTCATATAATATGCAAGAGAATTATAAATAAATTCACGCGATTAGTTAATTTAAGAATGAAAGAATTAATAAAAAAATATTCTTTTCTCACCTTGTTTTCAACCTTTTTGGAAATCTTGAGAAAAAATTTTACAATTTTTTTTAAATGGCAGTCTATCTAAAATTTTCAATGGAAAATATATGGATGCTACGAAGACAAGCGAGTTATGCAAATCAAATCGATTTCGATTTGCTATACGTTATTGCATTGCATCAGAAATGAAAAATAATTAAATTATGAATCATTAAATTAAAATTTATGAAAGAAATGGTCATTTGGAAATGATGGGTATTTTTAATCGTTAATTTTTAATTAATTGAATATTATACAATTTTTCTACATCGAATATCGAATATCCATACAATCGATTTATTATATTATTATAAAATAAAAAATTTATTATTAATATAATAATAATTGTGATACAACTTATACGTTAATATCATTAAATTGATAAATTATTGTAAAACATAGTCGATTGCTGGAAAAAATTGAATAAAAAGAATTTTAAAATAAAAAATATTTGCAGGCCTCTTCCGAATCGACAAATTTCGGCGAAAGTTCCGATGTAAACGATGTGACAGATGCCGAGATGTTGGGAACATTAGAATCAGGAACACCGGAATCAGGAATTGTATCGAATCAACACAAGCATAGAAAGTAAATGAATTTAAATTTAAATTTCTTCTTCTTTTCTTCTGCGTTTCTATGAAATATATATATATATATATATCAATTAATTAATTATAACGAAACGTTTCCATTACAGATTCGCTAAATTCGTTACACCGAAAGATTCTCCTGTCTACTTGATGACGCAGAAAAAGCGCGGCAAATGCATTATATTCAATCACGAGAAGTTCGAAAGAGAATCACGTCGAGAAGGGACAAATTACGACGAAAACGCAATAAACGAAACCTTTTCTGCTCTTGGTTTCGAAGTGAAGATCTATAAGGATTTGAAGGTCAACGAAATTATGGATGTCATTATGAATTGTACGTAATCAATAAACAGGTTTGTATATATTTATTCGTTACACGCTCCGTTTCTGTTTGCGAGATAATAATAAAAATCGAATTAGAGAAAAATCGGACTCGGATATTTTTAGAACGGTGTGGGATCAATCTTAATGCGGCTTCTTCAAAACTTCTTTTTGAAAAAGAATTTAAACGATTTTATCGATGAGTTTCATAATCAAAGAAAATTTTTTATCGATAAAGGTAATAGTTTGCTTATCATTGAATGCACTCGAAAGAAAAGGACTATATTCAAATTTCTTCGAATGAATCACATTTGGATGGCTTCGTTATCCATAATTTTTTGAACTTAACCTAAATTTCTATTATCGCTTTTAAATCTTCTTCTCATAAGTAATACTTTTTCCTCTTTAAATTTAGAGTAGATTTAGAGTTTTCCCATTTGATTATTATTATTTCGACAAAAATGAAATAAGATTGGAATCTTATAATCTCATAATAATAGATAGATGTTTGCTCTTGACTGATTCAATTGCGAGCTTTTGACGAATAAATATAATTTTTCCTTCGGTATAAGATAGAAATAATAATATAGGTTATGTTTCAGTGCAAAATGAAGAACACTATGATTGCGACTGCATATGTTTCTTTGTATTAACTCATGGCAAAATCGGTGATAATATATCTGCGTACGACATGACTTATCCGGTTCAGATGATTTGGCAACCATTCAATTCGGATAGTTGCATATCATTGGCTGGTAAACCAAAACTATTTTTCATACAGGTAAAAATATTGCAAAAATCATGTGAATGGCTACTTATCGTTCTAATGTTAATTGTAATACAAATAAATATTACTTGTGATACAATAATGTATAATTATTTACAAATATCGTTGCTTTTTCTTACGAGAATCGATTATTGTTTCTTATCTCTGTCAGGCTTGTAGAGGTGTATCTAGCGATTCAGGTATTCAAGGTAGATCCTGTGATATAGATTCAGATGAAATGACCTATATACTTCCTACAACTGCAGACTTTTTATACGCTTACAGCACCATGGAAGGTATTTTCTTTTATTTATTTATTTATTTTTTTTCTTTTGATTGTAAATAGATTTTTTTTTTATCTGGAACGAATTTTTATAGTAAAGATATTTATTCCGTTCGCAGGTTGTTATTCGTTTCGTGATACGAATCAAGGTTCGTGGTATATTCAAACTTTGTGCAAAGTTATTAACAAGCATTGGAGGGATTGCGACCTATTGAAAATGTTAACGATAACATTACGAAAAGTTGCTACGGAATATTCATCTCAACATTATGAATCGGATAAAGATAAGAAGAAGCAAATGCCTACTTTCACTTCAACATTGACTAGAGATCTATATTTTAATTCTGTGGAATAAGTAACGATCTGTTTCTAACAAAATGAGAATTTTAAAAAAAATCCATCACTATTGTTCTAACCATTAGATGAGAAAAAGGAAAAACAAAAAAAAATTATAAGATAAAATTAAAAATATCTATTAATACTATTTTGTACAAATTATGATGATGATTCATCGTATCGTTATAATTATTAACTAGGTTAGAATATTATCATTTAATATTTAAAGAAAACTGGTAATTAAAATTATTACTGTAGATCTTTTTGAAAATATTAATTAATTTACTTTAATTACAAATTGATAAATAGATGCAAAAGACGAATCAATGAAAAAAAAGAAAAAAAAAAAAAAAGATTAATGAGATTTGGGCAAGCATTGGGGAAAATAACCTTGAGCAATTAATAAGTAACTTTGAGTAGATTTTATTCGTGATAAGCGTTCTTATAGTGATAAGCGAGAAAATGTGCGTGAATAACTTAATTATTTCGTCTAGATTTACGATTTTAACTAGCTAATTTTCTTTTATTAAGCCATTAACTTTATTATAAAAGAGAATTCATTGTTTCCACGAATGAAACTTGTCACAGGAAGTTTGCCCTACAAATAAGTAATACTTACTACTCTATTCAAAAAATTGATGAAATTACGTCAAAATTACAGCAAAATTCAATTCTCTTCCAAATAGATGGTATCTTCTTCGAAGTAATCTTGTTTCGAACGTATGTACTCGTCAAATGGTATTTTTATTGCTCGAAGAAATGTTGGAAATCTTCTTGTGTGTAAACTTTATTTAGGATTCTCATCATTTTATAGTTTCAATGTCTTTCAGATATCATTTATAAATAGTCATTGATTTTATAACTTTACTTTCGTTACATTTGTTTTCAGCTATCACTTCATTTTTTTTTTTTAATCAAATTTTTATGAGAAATTTCTCATTAATGAATTGTCGTTTGGTGATAAAAAATAATTAAAAAAAAGAAAAAAATTCAAAAATCGTGACAAGCGAAAGAAACATAGGCAAACTAATTTCTAATTAAAAAAGTAAATTGCATTTCTCAGAATAGATAGACAGACAATCAAGATGACAATAAAATAATTATTCTTTTTGAATAAAATAAGTACAATTCTAGACATCAATTTGAAATAGTAGATAATAGTATTTATTGAATAGTATTGATGGTGAAGGGCTTAAATAATATGATATAGGCAGATTACAAATTAAAAAATCGGCTAATTGCATCGACTGATATTTTAATGTTACAAACCTGTTGCATACTATTGTACAAAATTTTAAATGGTAAACAAAATCCTATTTAATTGTATTACATAATCGCACAATTTATTCTCAAAAAGTCACTGATAGAAATGGATACAATTACATTAGCTTATATTATTTCTGTCATATTCTTTTTCTAATTTTCCTTTTTGTCATTTCACGTAAAATAACGTACTGCCTTGAAAAAGAACAAAAAAAGAATTGCTTTTTTTTATTAGAATTGTGTTATTTCAATAAATTATTTTTTCTTTACATTTTAAATACTGTTTATATTGCAACTGAACCTCTTTATAAATGAATATAATTTATATATTCCAATATATAATATAATATAATTTCCAATATATTTTATATATATATTGGAAATATATATATAATATGGAATATATATAATATAAGTCGAAAAATTAATATTTCTAAAATTGACAGATAATATGTTGAAATATATTTTAAAATTAAGGAAATAATCTAGATTTATGTGATCTCTTATATCTTTTGTAAACAATTAAATTAAACACGTATATTAATTTCAACACATAATTATAATTTTCTTATAATTATATTAAATTATTTTATTTATGAAAGATCTCATCATTTTATAAATTTTGTAATTCTTTTAATGTAAACAAATTAAATAAAGAAGAGTGTTCAGAAATAAAAACAACTTTTCTTTTCCTATAATACGAAATATTATGTATTATTTATTAGTTTATTTGAAGAATAACTTACAAAATTAATTTCCAATATTATTACATAATTATTTATCTCATTTTATTTTCTTCTTCAACGAAGAATAGTATATCCTTTTTCTTTAATTTTTTAATAGTGAAACTTTTTCTTGATTCATGGTTTCTATTACGTTCTTTTTTTTTTATTTTTTTTCCATTCAACGATTTTTTTCTCTCCTCGATCTCTCATCGTTATTTAATCGAGTCTTTGATCCGAACACTTCGAAATAAAAAAAACTTAATTAATTTTAAACGAGAAATATTCTGTCATCAATTACAGGTTGATGAAAAAAAATCCGTTTTGCACATTTATTTCGAAATAAAATTTTGGTTCGATATTCTAGGACGATTTTCAAGAATTTTTTTTTTTTCTTCGAATTGAACCGTTTCGAACGAATTCGATAAAATTTCGTGATATATCAGGTTCATATTAAAAACGAAAACAAATCAAGTTTATAAGAACTTAAAAAAATTATTTTCTATAAGCAAATAAATTTTATTGTTATAAAAAAGAGTTACGGTTTCCAAATTCCGTGATCATAAAACTTATCTTAAGATTATCTTAAGATTTATGACGAGATATATGAACAATTTTGTAATTTCAATTTTTTTTTAGAACTTGGTTATCTGGAATTATCTATTGAAATTTCCGTTTCATGTTTCCAAGGTTATTTCTATAATATAAATGATCCTATAACATAATGATGATTATAAGTGAATTTGATTTAAATCTCTCTCGTAAATGATATAATTTCCAAAATTATACAAAAATTAATTTACAAAAATTGATTCGATACGAGCGCAATGTAATCGCTATAATTAAAATTGTCATTCTTGCTCGAAATGAGTTTAGCAAAAAAAAAATCTTATTCTTAAATAAACTTTTTTTAAAAATTTTCTGAATTAATACTTTTTTGTTGAAAATACTTTTTAATTAATTACTTTTTTTTTATAGTTTTTACAAAACTATATGTTTTCTTTTTTATATTCATGATTTTTAGAATACCTTCTTGTACATTCTGCTACTAATAAGTCGAAGCTTCGAGCGTTCAAACGAGAGATGGCGTTAATCGAAAATTTTCAATCGCAGTCTAACTTATCAACGAAATGAATTTCAGATTGTCGATTTATTATTCAAATTTAATGATCAAAGAGTAAGAAGTAAGTAAAGTAAATACATATATTTTATATACATTTTATTATATTTTTATATGTAGAATATATATCTTATATATATTTTTATACGTTTTATATCGACGATATATTTGTATATTTCTATATCAAATATATCATATTTTATACATCAATAATTTTTACTGCAAAATTATATTTTTTATTTTAAAATTTTGGTTTTCTAAAATAGAAAATAATCCGAAAAAACACATTGGCCACGAATTCTTTGGAATTTTAATAAAGATTCTGTATTAATTCTATATCAAAAAAAAAAAAAAATAATCTGAGAAAAACTAATATACTAAAGTTTTTTAAAACTTTACAATTTTGTTCGATTTTCTCTTCGAATTTAATAACGAAGGGAACAAATGATAAAATAGATTCTTAAAAGAATTACGGAGATGCACACAAGGAAACAGAATACATAGATAATGTATTCCGTGCGACATTCACACGTCCCATTAAATCAACCGTTCACAAGTATGTTCGCAGTTCCGCTTGACAAACATATCCCCATAGATATTATCCCCAGTGTGGTTAATAAACTGCGTCGCAATATTATCTATATATCCGATCTGGGATATATTAATCATCTCGGCATTGTTCCATAACCAAGAAATCGCCGTTATCGCGTGAATTAATATCGATTGACGTGGTCATCGTTTCAATCTGCTATTTCTGATCTTTTTAATGAAATTAATAAAAACAATTGACTCTAAATTTTTTACATATACAATGTAATATAATACAAATATGTTTAAATACAACTTAATATAGATAATACATATACGATATTTCTACTTCGATAAATGTTATCCATATTTATTCGAAACCCTAAATTATTTCTATAATAAATCAATTTTCTAGGTTAAGGAAGGAGAAAAAAGTTTTGTACGGAGTAATCGGCGCAATTATAAGCAGAAAGTTGATTAGCGATTTATAATCTTCCGACCACACTTTTGCCTCCGTTTGGCGATGATCGTGAGAAAATAGTTCAATCAACAACTTCCTCTGACGCGAATCGAGTTGACGAAAATGCTCGAAACAACACGCGTGCGTCCATAATGGACAAACGGAGGACGATGACCAGGCTCATAGTCGATGCCAGTGAAGCACTTTCGGCGTCGACGGGCATTCGTTGGCTTTGGGACGGACTAGTGGGACGGAGTGGAGCGGAACAGGAAGGGGAGACATGGTTCTGGTACGGTGGAGCGAACGTAAGAGTTCAGGAGTTTGCGCGAACAGATCAATACTTCCCCCGCGCGTGGATATCTCCTCTCTCTTTCTATCTCTCTCCATCCACTCGTAAAAATCTCCTCGTTGATCTATCCTATCCTCTTTCATCTCTGTTTCCTCTTACCTATTTTCTTTTTCTCCATATTCTTCTCTCTTTCTCCATTTCTCTATTTTTTCTCATCCTCCTGTTCGAGATCTGACTGAATAAAGTTTGACAAATTCATCGCTATCACGAAATATGTTCATATTTTTATTTTGTCGCTTTTTCTGAAATAATTTTAATTCTTCGTTCTTAATCATTAAGGACGAGCCTTGATCTCTTACCAGTGTTACGATTATCATCTTTCTTATTGCCTATATTTGTTTTCAAAAACTTCTAGTCTTTCTTCCTTATTTCTTCTAATTTGATCATTCTTATCTAGTTTTATTTCGATTATCTTGACCGATGTTATCGCAATATTAACGAAACAAAACAATTTAACTTTTTACAATTGGCGAATTTTACGCTTTTCAACTCTATACACTGTCTATTAAAGCATTTAACCGACCAAGGCAAATAATCTCACGTTTTAGTTTTATCCCGATTTTCATCTCATCATCAACTCAACGTACAACTTTCTTCATCCATTTCCCCCTCTATTCCCCTCCCCACATCTGTTTATTCTGTTCTTCAGACTCCAACCCGAGTTTCTACCCTTTCTTCCAACGGTGGAGTTCTACTTCTAGGCAGGATTATACACCCGCTTTCATCTTTCCATCCGCGTTCATCGACGCACGTACACGCGTTTTCCCCGCGACGTACGACCCTCTTCTCTATTTGTATCGTAACCTCCTCCCTCCCTTCCCTCCCGACCTTCCTTTTTATCTTTCTCCTATACGCTTTGCCTCTCCTTTTCTACGCTACGCCTCCCTCTGCAAGCCCTTAGTCCAGCGTCACTGTTTCCGCGTTACAACTCGTGTCGAATCTATTCGATACTTGTACTTATTCATAACGACAAACCAAGTCAATTTTGATACTTTACTCATTATCGTGCATAAGTAGAAGTTATGCTATTAAATAAAAGATATGTTATAGGAATATAATTATCTAGTCTCTTCGTTAGATTGACAAAATATAATTCCTATTTTAATTTCTCGAAACGTGAAAAAAAATGAACGATTGTCTCTAGTTTCATCTCTATCCGTCTCTTCGTTTGTTAGATAGTTTCCATCCTTGGCTAGAGCTCCTAAGTCCTAGATGTTTTGTAGGACCTCTTCCTATCCTCTACGTGGAGATATAAGTGTGCGTCCTCATTTATGAGAATGGTATGTACGTATATACGCGTTTATATCGTCTCTGCCATACAGTTCTCTCGGTTCGTTCATTCAAAAACGCACAACAATTTTCATCATTTTTAGATCCTCTTCCTCGTTTTCACCTTCGTCGCATCTCTTTGTTTGAACGCAGATTTCATCTCTCCGTTACTATTTCCCTTGATCTCTTCCTTTGTATTCCGTTGTTTCTCCGCGTTTGCTCTTCCATCCACGACACGTGTGTGCGCATGCGTACACATGTGTATGTATGTCCGTATTTTCGGCGGATGTATAGATGCATCCTCTCTAATGTTTCATTCGTTTTTCTTGGATTTTCTATTTTCTATCCCGTTTCTCCTGTAATCTTTCGTCCTCTTTATTTCGTTTTAAAGGTAAGTACGTAGCAACGTGTGAGAGATCGTTTTGAAGGCATTCCTATTGAAAAGTATTTTTTCAGTATATATATTTAGAACAATAAATATAATCTTGTTTATCCGAAATGAATAAATGAAAAGAATATTTAATTTCGCGAAAGTAACTGTCTTTAAAAGTACGATCAAAAAAGTGTTAACCTCCAATTAGCGCTAATTCGAATGAACTCGAAGTAACGTTTGAGGTTATATCGCTTCTTTACTTGTCGATATACTTTGCGCTATTATTTTAAGCAATAAAACTATTTTCCGCTTGTATACTGTTGTCCATTTCCATCAGCTGTCTATATTTTTCCTTTATCCTTTCCTTGCTCGGCTGCCATTCTCTTTCTGCGTTTCTCCCGACTGTCTAACGTGTCATAGGATTTCTGTCAGTTTTCTATCTCCCGTGTCGCGTTTCCTTTCTTTTTTTGCCCATGATATCTTTCTATTCCTGTCGTAACGGCAACGTTCGTCACGTTTCCCCTCATAATTCGCAATTCTTCTTCTCTTCTTCCTGTAAACAATGCCGTAAATCATCTCCAATTTTTTTATTTTGCATACTTTGCAAATAACTATTTTTTTCTTTTTTTTTTACATGTTCCGTTTTAAAATGACGAACGATCCTCTTTATCTTTCTTTCTTTCTTCTAATTTCTTCAGTATTCATTTCAACACTTGTAATGGTAAATCTACGTCTCGTGTTTGTTATTTCTCTTTCTCTCTCTCTCTCAAATCATCTCGAATTACTTTCCTTGCCAAATTGCTTTTCTTCGATGTTTACAAACAATCGTTTTTTCTCTCGTCGTTTTAGCAGAAAGAAAGTCCATTCCACAATTTTGCACGAATATGTATCGTAGTTTATCTACCCTCGTTCCAATTTCTTCTTTTTCTTCTCTCTACTTTCCATCACTTTTCATCATTTTTCTTCCCTTTACATTTATTATCTTTCTTGATAACTTCCATGTTTATTTTCCCAGTTTATCTTTTCTCCCCGTGCTCTCTTCATTCTTTCCTCTTCTTCCGCTTCATTCTTCTCGATAGCTTTCATTTCTCTCTCCAACAGTTTTCATCCCTCTTTCTCTATCACTTTTCTCTCTATCTCATTCCCCTTCTTCCATCCTCTTTTCTTTTCAACCTTTCTATCAACATTCCTTCTCTCTCTTCGATGGTATCCATATTTTTCTCTTCGCCTCCTTTTTCATCCTCCACATATATATATATATATATATATATATATATATATACATTCTCAATATATTTCTCTTTTTCTTTCCCTCCACGAAGAAAGAAGAAGATGGGGGGAGGAGGGGATTAAGTAAAAGTTTTGCAATAGAAGAAGCAAGAAGAGAGAAAGAGAAAAAAGTGGAAAAACCAAGAAAGGATGAAGATACACATCTCGAATCTCGCAGACAGGATTTGGAGAAAGGTGGGAAAAAGAGAGGAGATGAGGGGAGAGTGAGTTTTTCCCCTTCAACCCCGATCCAGCAGACACGTTCCCCTGCGCGGCGCATCAGCTTCCATCCTTCTCCCTCTCCGTCTGCGGCACACGTCCCCCTCTGGCTCCGCCGCCTCCACGGCCTATCAGCCGTACACGGGATGCTGCGAATCCGGAGTGCTGCGATTCAGTCGTACGCTTGGCTCCCTCGTGTCGCCGCCGTTCTGCTCGCGTACACTCGTCTCGCGCGCACCCGTCCTCGTTAAAAGCGTCCGCGTGTCGCGCTTCGGCCATCACCCCGATCTTCCAGCTCCTGCTTTCCAACCGTCACGCGTCTTCGCTTCCTTCTTCCACCCTTTCTCTCGACCCTCGCCGACTAAATCTTTCCTCATCGTTATTTTCTTGATCGTAGTTTATTCTTGTAAAAAAAAAAAAAAAAGGAATCGAGCTTGCTGGTTTCTCTCTGGAGAATCCAAGATTACTGGTCGGGAATATCCAGTCGGAAATCGAAGCAGCATGGGGATTCTCACGTGAGAGGCGTGTTCCGGGGGTAAGTCGCCATTCCATTCTACGTTGAGAGAAAATTAAACGGAATCCTCTTCTTTTCGTTTTTATTCCCGTGGTTCTTTTGGTTTTGTTTTTTTTTTTAGGGAGAAAAAATGTTTGATTCGTTTCTTTATTGATTCGTTTTCGAAATTCGTTTCCGAAGAGAACGAGAGATTTCAGGGGATAACAGGATATTTTTCATTTCGATTCTCGAGATTCATCCTGGAAAGGAAAAGAAAGAAACATTCTTGGTCCATTCTTTGAGTGGAAATTTTGACGATAGACGCGATATAATCGAAGGTTAACTTACTTTCAACGATTCGGTTCATTTTAAAAAAAAAAAAACTTAATTTTTCGAGATCGAGAAAATGCATTATTTTCTAGATGTCACGTGTTTGCAGAGTGTGTCATCCACATTTGATTTGTTTTGAAAGCAACTTAAGTAAGAAGCTTAAAATCGATCGAGTAATTTTTGTCGAAGAAACGACAAACGGGTAAATAAAACGATCGTCCTTTATCGTAGTGTACGGAGTACATGAGATGGTAGTCCTTTGTTATTGTCCTCCGCCATCGTATCCCGAGCGCCATTGTAATGGAGACGTCAAGATCTGGAGACAATAGAATGGGATACGATTTGAAGATTAACTCTACTTAACGGATGAGAAAATTTATTAGATAAATTAATGCAAGCACGAGAAAGAGAAACAGAGAGAGAGAGAGAGAGAGAGAGAGAGAGAGAGAGAGAGAGAGAGAGAGAATCTGTGCGTACGTTTCAATTTTTAGAAATATTTTTTCAATATATATATATATATATTATATATACGTTTGAATAATTTAAAATATCTTAAATTACTACTACTACAAAATTGAATAATCCTCTCTAATTCTCTTTGATGAAATCTTCCCTGTAATAAAATCCTCGACTCGTGATGATAATCGAACAAATTAAACGACGTACAATATGATAATCTCTTCCTTTGTCTCGGCTGGAAGCGATTAAGGTCGCGATTGAGGATATCCTGCGATGAAAATTCGTTGCGAACGATCGAAAAGGAGGAGGAGGAGGAGGAGGAGGAGGAGGAGGAAGATTTCCAGATTCCCATATCGAAGGAGGGAAATTTCCTCGCCGAAAAAACAGAAGAACAAACCGAGCAAACTTCTTAAACTCGTTTCCCCTCCCCTCCCCTCCCCTCTGAGCCATTTAACCCCTCGACTCTCGCGTTTTTCTTCCAACCAATCCCCACCTCCCCTCCCTCCCCTCCCTCCCTATATACGTGCTTTCCCTCTCCTCTCCTCTCTCCTTTTTCTTTTTTCCTTTTTTTTAATCTCTTCAGAGAAATAATTCGCGGTCTACAGAGTCTGTGAAACTCTCCTTTCATCCGTTCCAATTCACCCGACGCACTTTTCTACAAATTTATAACGAGCCGCGCTCGCTATTTATTCTTAGTCTCGGCCGACCGTTTCTCCTCGTTAATTCTCTCTCTCTCTCTCTCTCTCTCTCTCTCTCTCTCTCTCTCTCTCTCTCTCTCTTTCCTTCTCATCTCCTTACCTCCCTCCTTCCTCTTTTCGTTACACTTAATTAGTAAGCAATTTCAGTAACGAACCGGCCTTTCTTTGTGGGCCCCGGGACAATTACTCGCGTTCCGTTTCACGCGCTGTATCGCGTGTTTCCGTGTTCCGCGTGTTCGAAGAAGAGGAAAAAAAAAATAAATAAATAAATAAATAAATTCCAGTTTATAAACAAATATCGAGCAATTTCCTCGGAAGAAGGAAGAAACAGGTCGAGTCGAGCAACTCGACTATTATATTTATCGATTCTCGATTTTTAAGTGTTTCTCGATTTGCACGGAAGGGGGGAGGGGAGAGGGTGGGGGAAAAGGAGGAGGAGGAGGGGCATCGTGGAAACACACCGAGATCACCGTTCGTTCTAATTGGTTTCCTTCCTAACGATGAGTGGAAAGGGACAGATGACGAGGAAAATTGGAAGGAAGGTTAAACGACTGGTTAATGCTTTTTTTTTTTTTTTTTTTTTTTTTTAAAAATGGAATCCATGAATCCATCAAGAGATTTTACATGGGACGTACAATTGAATCGAATTATTAAACGAATATTGCAAATAGATAAAAATAGTAAAATTTAGATTGGATAAAATAGAATGGATGCTTTTCTTTGACGAAAATGTTTGAAATGTATATTTTAAAAATTGGTAAAGTAAAAGTTTCAGAGAGAGGGGGAAATATAAAATAATTATAGAAATACGCTTGTAATTAGAAAAATTTCCATAAAGAGATAGAAGGACTAGATGACGAGGAAAATTGTGACGAGAGAGAGAGAAGACGAATCTTGATCGGTCAATGCTTCTTTTTCTAATCCATGAATTCTCTAAGATAGATTTTACATGGATCGTAAACTAAAAGCTAAATCAAATCATTAACGAAATACATGTATTATTAAATAAAATAGAATTTAAAATATATTTTAAAAATTCGTGAAGCAAAAGCTTCGAGGAAAAAAGAAAAATATAAGATATAATTAAGAAAATACTCTTGTAATTAGAAAAATATTCTAATTTGTTAAAATCGATAAATAGAAAGTGATAGATGACGAGCAAAAAATTTGAGAAAATTGGTTAAACAATTAATTAATTTTCCCCCCTTTTTTTTTAAAATACAATCTATAGATCCACCAAAAGATCGAATATATCAATCGAATCAAATCAAATTTTATATTAAGCGCGAAAAGAATACGATATATGATAAAGAGATATCGAATAAAAATCCAGGTTAGATAAAACGGAATGGATAGAGCTTTTCCTTGCTGGAAAATTTAAAATACATAATTTAAAAATTTCGCGAGGCAGAAGGTTCGAAGGGGGAGGGAGGGAGGAAGTATAAAGTATAAAGTATAATTAAGAAAATACGCTTGTAATTAGAAAAATTTCCGTCGGGATTAAAACGAGAAGCGGGGCGCTTTTCACCAGTTGGTTTCCACCTGTGAAAAGCGCGCGCGTTCCTTCCTTTCGCGAGAGAGGCGGGTGACGCGAGCGGTTAACGAATTCGCTGAGAAGCCATCGTGAAACCGTGAAGATGCGTCCTGAACGTCCTCTTAAGTCTCTTATTACGATTTCCGCGAGAAAAGCCTCTGAAAAGCCCTGGATACACGCTTTAGCCTGGGGAACGAGAGCGATGAGACGACGATGAGCGTTTCTTCTCGGGAAAAAGAAAAAAAAACACGCGCCCCCCTCCATAATAACTTCCATCCCAACTTTTCTTTCAAAAATTTTTTTCTCATTGAAAAAATATCTCGCGTGAGAAACAGCGAACGATTCGATCGTTCCATTATCGAAGAAACGATTTGTTCAAACCGATGTTGAAATCTAATTACACGCACAGCCATCTTATTTTCATCATTCTCCTCATCCCACTTTTAATTGAAAATACAAATTAACGATGGATATAAAGATAAATAATCTCGAAATATCTTTCTAAGGCGAGAATAATTACATTAAAAACTCGTATACTTACGTCGATCACGAACTTACGATCGAGAAAAAAAAAAAAGAAAAAAGAAAAAATTGATACCTGTTACAGAGGAATAAAATTCGAGGGATAAAAAATCGAACGAAATACGACGCGAATTTTATATCGAAAAGAATAAATAAAATAAATAAAAAATAAAAACAAAAACCTTTTTCTTTTATTCTTATTCGTTTTTTTTTTAGCTAGTGGGTCCACAAAGGAGAAGGAGAAGGAGGAGGAGAGAGAGCGAGAAAAATCAAGAAGAAGGAAGAAAGGAGGGAGGGGGAGAGGGAGGAAGAGAGGGAGCGACTCACGAACGAATTAATAATGCCGCGCGAGAGGGGCGCGGAGGAGGAACGGCTGAACTTTACGTGAGTAAAGGCGGCGAGCCGGGTCATGACCCGACGACCCATCCATGTCCGATATCTGGGCCACACTTGAATTTTAATCCACGCTGCAATTGCCGCCTCGCTCGATTAGCTCTTTCACTCCACGTTTCGCCCCGCGTTTAGTTTACCGAGCTTTAACTTTTGCTTCTCGTGCCCACCTCTGCCCGCCTCGCTCCCCTCCCCCCCTCTTCCCCTGCCCGCAACGTTGTTGAGACGCGAAGCCCGCCTCGACCGAGTCCGAATTTTATCGGGACAGAGAGAAGGACGATCGATATTACGGGGCGAGCGAGAGAGAAGATCGGGTCTTGGAACGTTCGAGTGAGACGAGAAATATGAAATGGAAAAGTTTTGACCGAGATATATTTTTTGACAATTTTTCGCGATCCCCTCCCCCTCCTCTTCGTCGATCGATTCTCACCTCTTCTTTTCTCGCCGTTTGAGGAGGGAGAACTTGAATGGAAGAACAATCGGGGTATTGAGAATGGCGGAAAATTAGTGCGCGAAACCTCGAAACGAGTCAGTTGTTTGTTGCGAATGGAGGTTGCGAGGCTCGATTTGCAATTTTACCCGTAATACCCTTTGTCGTTCTTCCCAATCTGTATTGTAGTTCTTGGCAAACATGTGATGGGCTAAAATTCAAATAAAATCGAAGTTACGAACAAAGTTAGTTTCATAAGTTATTTCGATGGTTTATCGTTCGAAATAATAATTGCAAATAATTATAATGTCAAATCGTTATTCAAGTAATTATTTAAAGTAATTTTATTCGAAATTTTACTTAAAGATACGAGCAAAGTTATTTTCATAATTTACTTCAATGATTTATCGTTTGAAATAATAATAATGATAATATCGTTATAATAATAATAATTATAAATAATTGCAAATAATTGTAGTGGCAAATGATTATACGAAAAGCGAATAAACGTTATTCGAGCATTTAAATAAGTAATTACTTGAAGTAATAATTTTATTCGAAATTTTATTTTTTCAACCGGATTAATGGCCGACTAATAAAGTTAGCAAAAAGGATTTAAAGATGGGTTCAAACGTTTCGATATCTTTCGTAATTAATTTCGCGTGATGATAAGTGTGTGAAAAGATAAAGGAGAAAACGCGTTAAATATTGGAAACAATTCAGTCGCAGGGGATCCCGCAATTATCCCGGAAGAAGAGAGAAGTGAAAGGGTGCAGCGATGGGGGTGTACGTGATAGGTTTGGTCGGTGTGATCGCGTTTTATGTGGCGGTGTTGGGTGTCGGTATTTGGGCGGCCGCAGTGAAGAAGAAAAAATCCCGCCACGGCCATGACGCTTTGATACTGGCTAACCGTGGCTTAGGTCCGATTCTTGGTGTCTTCACTTTGATCGGTAAGTTTTAAACAAATTTCTTTTCTATACTCACAATATAAAGTTCGAATTGAATTCGAGCGATTATATATATATATATTCATTCGATTAGTCAAACGAAGATGTTCATTTGATAAATAATAAATTATATATAATTATATATATTGGAAATCAGTAGATTCAGATATTGTTGGATTGTAAAAGCTTGTTATAAATGTTGCAAGTTATAAAATAGTCAAATTAAGAATTCAATTAAAAATTGATTCCTTGTATAAATAGTATTATCGAATTTTGTTCCTTCTGAAATTCATGGCTATGGAATCGAATATGATATTAATAATCCTGATGAATTAAATTATCAATTCTCAACTTTGTTCTCATTGAATCTATAAGTATCTTAATCATCTGCTTCATTGGGATTAGTGGAACGGTATAATTTATTCAGAAATTATAATATTATTACAATATTATTCAATTTCAATATATACATATACATATTTGATTTTCTTAAAAAACAGACAATTATTCTTATATAAAATCTATTCTTATAAAATTTAAATTCCAATTTGAACAGAAGTAGATCAATATTTTTTAAAAAACTATTAAACAATCAGATTCGTCTTTATAAAACTTAATTTTTAACAAAAATATATTTAACATTTTAATTATTAATAATTAAACTTGAATATAATACTTCTAATAAGAAATTCTTTAGAATTATATGACATTTCCATGTGGTAATTCTATGTGTAAAAAAATATAGAATAAATCTTTTTCGTTAAAAAATTAATTTTTGGGAAAATTAGTTTTAAAATTATATGATTTCTGCATTATAAATGTCCAATCTCGATACTTTAAAAAAAAATATAAATGATAAAATTTTGTTCTATATTTTGTTTATTTTCATATAGAAAATAATCAAAACTATCAAAGAAAAATTCATTTATATTCAATAGAATTCATTTATATTCAATAGAATTCATTTATATTCAATGAATTAATCAATTTCGCTTTCATTTGAAAAATTTTCAAGCATGATTTATTTTACCAACAGAGTTTCGCATGAAAAAATATTATTCTTTTTTTTTTTTTTTCAATTTATTTTTACACGCAGAATCACCATCCGCTATATCATGATTTCAGAAACATAGCGCGTGCGTATCTTCTTTATTCTCTCCCCGATTCTTTGAACGAACATACGCGATGTTTTATCGACTGTAGGCACAGTAGGACACCGGGGAATCCAGGCTTTGTTGTCGCATCAATCGTGTTTCTCGTTTATCCCTAGTTTCCTCTTTTTATTTCTCCCGTTCGCGCGTCTCCATTCCGCGTTTCCTGTATTCCTCCCCTCGTCACAACCGTTGAATCCATTCTAGAACTGCATTTCATTTATACACATCTACGCTCTAACCATACCCTCTCACCGTGGAAATCATTTTTGCATCCCTCCATTAGCTTAATAACACTAGGACGAGAAAATATGCCGTGGAAAATGCTTCGCTCGACCATAACTGTCCGTATTATGTTCTTTTTCTTCTCCCCCCCTTCCCCTCGCCCCTCTCTTCGTTCGGTGAAGAATGAATGGTAAGAGCAACGATGGAGGGGATTTGCATGCGTTTCTGCGGTCTTCCCAATTGTTCCAGCGGCGTTCGGTCAGCCACGGGAAAATTTAGGTCGGAGGAATTGATTTTATACCAGGAATAGCTTTAATTTTATGGTCGGATCAACAAAGGTCGAGTTGTTTTGGTAATTGTTGAAATGAGATGAGATTTATTAATAATTTAATTTTACTTTTTGTTTATAATAATAGATAAAAATAGATTGTTATGAATAATAGATGCATTTATAAATAATTATACGAGATATGATTAATTTGACGTGATAGAGAAAATAGATACAACAAGATATAAATAGTTGAACTTTCGGTCCTGGATAAACAATTATTTATATACTCGTAGATATAATTAATAGATCACATACTTACTTCTACACCATTTTTTTCTCTAATTTCATAAGAAAGAAATAAAAGAAACGTCGCATTTCCTCGCCAATATATAGTAACATGTTTATTAAGCTTTTACAGATGACCGGCCTCGCTCCCTAACATTTTCCCTCGAAAGAGCGATTTCTCGCTTAATCGAAGCCAACTAATCGAGAGATACAACACGCGTTCTTTGCTCTTTTTCCACAGCCACGTGGGTCGGTGGCGCCTACATAAACGGGACCGCTGAATTGATGTTTACCAAAGGATTGGCCTGGTGTCAAGTGCCCTTCGGTTACAGCCTCAGTCTACTGTTCGGTATGCTACTAATCTTTCGACATTTATTCGCCAATATTAAGCGTGAGATCACGTATATGCAACGAGGACGTAAAATTCATCAATAATCGAAATAAATATTCCAAATATGATATCGAAACATTTCTTAATTGAAACTAAGTTTCTATCTAATACTTTGAAATATATATAAAAAACTTTTTATATAACTTAATTATTTTCATTATAAATCAATGTGGTTATATCGTGGTCTACGCTACACGACACACGTAACCTTAACTTAGCCACGCATTTGATGAAGTATAGAGGGAGTGGAAGTAGATCGATGAATATGAGATAATGAAACTGTCAAGGCCGAGGACATCCAAAGCTATTATATTTATCTTTTCTTCTCTTTCTCTCTTCTCATGCAATTCTGCATGCGAATTATTTGAATTCCGCGAAAATTACCTCGGAAGAGGGCTATTGTTGATAGCTTGGTAATTGTCATCTGAGGCGTGCTTTAGGAGAGTGGCATCGACGAGGAATTTAACGAAGGAGGGATAAGAATAGGATTGATGATAGATATATCGTATTTTTTAAATATTCGTAAACAATTTTCTGAATAATTAAAATGAGGCAAAATTTAAATATAAAAAGTTCGATATTAAAATTTATATAAATTAAAATTTTTTTTTAAAAAAATTTCGCAATCGATATAAATAATAATAAAAATAATATAATAATAAAAATAATTGTCGATCCTTTTTTCCGATACGATTTTTATAGCGATAAAAATGAATGAACAAATGGCGAAAGATATTCTATTTTAAAATCGTCAGAAATGTAGATTAAAAATTTCTCATTCGGCGGAGAGAGTCTGGAAAATTCTCTGCTGAAATATTTTCCAGGTGAACGACCCAATCGGTGGTTCGATCGGACGGACACACATAAGCTCGATTTATTTGCACGCCGACGAATGCTCAAACCATTTTATCGCCAATTTTTTTTTTTTTTTTTTTTGCGTGTACCCTGTAGTAATGGATATCCCCTTTCGCTAACGATGTTTCCCCCAATCCTCTCCACCTCCCATTCCTCGACCACAGATCCCGAATTTGATTGAACTCCAATTAATCGAGGCTATACTATTCACAACGTTTGCGTTTCACTTAATCGAAGCCTCCGCTATCTAATTAAAAGCGCGAATCCATCGGCATCCGGTTAACAATTCAACCTCCTCCCTTTTTAAAACTAATTTTAATTCTATCAGGGCTTATGGTAATTTAATATCTCCTTCTATTTAATTCGAATTCGAAAGCTTTCTAGTTCGTTAGAATCCGATTGAATGCATTTTAAAGGGCTTGTTCGATACATTTCATACAATTACAGATAAAATAAACGATATACAATTTATCGCATTCGCCGAGGAGGAAATGTTTAAAATTATTCATATTAATCGATCGACGAAAATGTAAAATTCGAAAAAAGTTTTCCTTTCTTTTAAAATGAGGAAATTTTAATTCTATCATTGCGGCAATTTAATATCTCCTTCTATTTTATTTAATTCGAATTCGAATTCTCTCTCTAATTCGTTAAAATCCGTTTGAATGGATTTTAAAAGGTTCTTCGTTCACCGAGAAAAAAATGTAAAATTATTTCTATTAATCGATTGAAAAAGAAAAAATTAGTGATAGTTTTAAAGAGCTTCTGAAGAAAGGAAGAAGATTAGGGCATACATTAAAGTAGATTTCTCCTCGATCATGAAGGAAACGTCTTTTTTGAATCCAATAGTTCAAGAAAATTGCATTTTCGCGTGAAACAGAATCCACCCTCATCAACGAACAATTTTATCAGATTGATCAATCTTTGCAACGAAGATAAAATGCGATTCGAAAAAATGGCGGATGGAGTGAAAAAAATATTGCAGGTGCGGTGTTATTCGTACGGCCAATGAGAAAAGCGGAACACGTGACCATGCTGGATCCTTTTCAAGAGAGATACGGTGCCGGTGTTGGGGGGCTCTTGTTCCTCCCTGCCCTCTTCAGCGATTTGTTCTGGTGTGGCGGGGTGTTGAGAGCTTTGGGAAGCTCGTTGGCAGTGGTTGCTGGCGTAAATCCGGACATCAGTATAGTCGCCTCTGCCCTCTTGGCAGCCGTGTGAGTAAAACTTGGTTTTTGTCCGTTTTGAGTAATTTTGAAAAAAAAAAAAGAGAAAAAATTAGAAATTATAAGCGAAAAAAAATTTTTATGATATACTTTGTAATTAAAAAAGAAAAGAAAAAAAAAATAAGTCAAATTAAAGATATCTGTGAATTGCAGATACACCGTGTTCGGTGGACTTTACTCCGTCGCGTGCACCGATGCGTTGCAGCTGGCATGCATCGTGATCGGGTTGGGATTGGCTGCGCCATTTTCCGTTCTCCACCCCGCCGTCAACTTCGAGAAAAATCTAACGCCGCACGAATGGCTTGGGGAGATTAAGAACGAGGATCTTGGCGAGTGGGTGGATTGCATGCTGTTGTTGGTATTTGGCGGTATACCTTGGCAGGTATATTGAATACTCGTCAAAATAATTCTGATCTGTATAACGCGTGAATGTACACGAGCGTGCGAACTTTCGTTTGGTTTGGTTTCGTTTGATGAAAGATTGTTTCAAGGGAGAGGGGGCAAAGAATGAAAGAAAAAAAAAAAAAAAAAAAAAAGAAAGAAAGAAAGAAAGAAAAATATCGATTAGTTCGTTCGAAAATCGGTAGTTACGAATCTAGTTACAATATTAAAAGATTTCACAATGATCCAGGGCTACTTTCAAAGGATCCTAAGTATGCGAAGCACATCGATGGCGACCGCTTTGTCAATAACATCGATGTTCGGTTGCATGATCCTCGCGTTTCCATCAGCTCTAATTGGCGTGGTGGCACGTGCCACCGATTGGTCAACCGTGCAGGGATTTAACAAAAGTATAATAGCGCACGAAGCGAATGCAGCATTACCGATCGTTCTCCGATACTTGACACCGCAGTGGGTCTCCTTTGTCGGTAAGTGTAGAACCCTCTGTGACCATTTCGAAAGCTAAAACAACCGTTCCCCCCTCCCTCCCTCGCTCCCCGATAGTTTTCTCGACCTCCTTTCCACGAGACGCTCAGGCTTACCTTCGATTCCCTTCAAGCTCCAAATGACAAACATTCAGAAGTGTATCTCGAGTGTGTTTCTCTTTCACGCGTTTTGTCTGAAATCTCGCGAACAGCAGCGAGCCTGTTTTCTTCGCCTACAACCATCTGACCCTCTTTTCTCACCCTCCGCATAAAGCGCACACTCTCTCTCCGTACCAGCAAGGCACACCTCGAACATTAGTCACTTAAGCAACCGCGAAACAGGTCGAGTGTCTGTAAAGAATAAAAATTCAAGTAGTGATACACGGGCTTTCGAAGAGTTTGCACATTCTTATCGACTGCTTCGCTTTGTAAAATAAAGTTTAAGCTTAAGTTAAGGAAAGAGAGATAAAAAAGATTTTTGCATGACTTTAATTTAAAAATCGGGAATCTATCGAAATCTAATCGAATGTTAAGTAAATGTATTTCACGCTTGTCAATAGCGCAATTTTCGATATTGATCTATTAGGTCTGGGCGCTATTTCCGCGGCAGTAATGTCTTCGGCGGATTCAAGTATATTGGCCAGCAGTTCCATGTTCTCCAGAAATGTCTACAGACTGACACTAAGGCCGAAGGTTAATCCTAAAAAAAATGATCTATTTATTTCTTATTTAAAATAAGATTCTTAATTTTTACGACAAAATCGAAAATATTCAAAATATTGTCTGAATGAAGATTCGAAAGAACGAGAACAATAGTAAAGCTTTTTCCTTTTTTTATAACACAGGCATCCGAAAGGGAACTGAATTGGATACTCCGGATATCCGTGCTTGTGATCACAGCCTTGTCGACTGTGATAGCGCTCACGGTGGATAGTGTTTATTATCTGTCGTGAGTAGTAATACGCTCATTTTATCGACTCATCGATTAATGATCAATTAAACAGATCAACTAATTCATCTGTTTTTTTTTTTTTTTTTTTTTTTAAGGTATTTGGCTTCTGATCTTGTTTACGTGGTGCTCTTCCCCCAATTGTTAACCGTTGTCCATTGGCCCTCTTTGGTCGACACGTATGGATGTCTGGCTGGTTACTTCGTGGCTGTTGTTTTACGTCTTTGCGGTGAGAATAATAGAATATTTTCTATATATTAGATCGTAACACACATAAAGTTGCTAATTTTAGAACAAATGACAATTATAACAAATGTGACTTGTAAACTCTACTTAACCTATATTTTGCTTATGATATTTTACGTTGTTGTTTTATATTTCCTTTGCATAATAAGTTCTTTTTTATATTAATTTAACTTTTTTGAAAAGTAAACGAATAATAGAATATTATTCCTGTACGAGTTTAAGCTGAGTCACAATGCAAATATATCGAAATATTAGGTTAACTTTCGGAGAAGATTCTATTATTGAGAGGACCGTTCGATGGTAGTTTCAAAAATTCAGATCTGCAAATGAGAATCTTGAAAATGAGCGAAGTAGACTAAAATAATATATTAAACAAAGATAAATTGAAAGTCAAAACAAAAGCAGAGCACGTATCTCGGATGACAGTTGTCAGATTTAGATGTTTCGGTGCAATGGATAAAATGAAAAAATTGGAAAAGTGGGTACCGCACCAACCGACAGAGGATCAAAAGTTGCAGTGTTTAGAAGTGTAAAGTTCGAAACATTAGAAATCCATTTTTGATTTACAACTTCGTGCACGATCTGGATAGTGATTGGACACTAATAAAAATTCTAAACAAATGCTGAAATCATCATTACGAACGAAAAAAGTTATAGTGACTATGATAACTGTAAAGAAAATAATTCTCTGAAACAAGGAGATACCATAACCTATTCTTCTGCATAACAACATATTCGACATACAATACAAAACACCATATTCATCAGATATTTTAACCGATTATCATTTATTTCACTATTTACAATTGTTTTAAAAATATTCGACACTGAAAAAGCTGTAATCGCAGCATTCGAAGAATTTTTTCGCGTCTAAAATCACGAAGTTTTACAAAAATGGAATATATCAATTGGAATCTCGTTGAGAAAAGATCGTTAAAGCCAATAGGCTCATATTTTGATCGACAAAAACGCAATTTCATGTGGTACAATCCAATATCTATAAATTTTTATTGGAATTAACGTAATAATAATTTTTGTAAAAAAGAAAATTTGTCCTTAAAAATGTTTTCATCTTAATAATATTCATCTCAAAAATATTCTTTACCATAGGCGGAGAAAAAGGATTGGGTGTGCCGGCACTGATCGAGTATCCATTTTATGACGTAGAAACGCAATCACAAAAATTCCCATTCCGCACTGGGGCCATGTTAGTGGCTCTGTGCACCCAACTCGTGACGAGTTTCTTCACGAGAAATCTTCTAGGGAAAGGTTACTTTCCTCGATGTTGCGACGTTCTTAGCGTCTATTCACCCGGGAAATCGAAGGACCAATCGGGAGTTGTACAGAGCAGCTCGGGCGCAGCTCTCATGGACACTTCTTCCGTCAATGTGAGTTTTTTTTCTTTTCATTTGAAAAATTCCATTAAAGTATCCTCTTTATTTCTTTTAGAAGAAAACTAACTATTGAAAGAAAAAGAAATAAAAAATTAAAATCTCCCTCAGAAATCTACCTCAGGAATAGATTCTTGCGATGGGATCGGGCCTGGAAGCTACGACGACGACCGCACCACAACTAACTCCGTCGAAGATGTGACCGATCAAAGAGACAACGGGACCATAGCCAGCGACCTATACGAGAAAGAAACCCCGAAAAAGCATATAAACAGCATTGGAACGGCAGCCCAAAAAGCGAACCAAAGCCTGCAACACCTTCAAACATTGAGAAATTCCATTCACGCGAGCTCGATCAGCGGCAGACACACCCCGACCCCGAATCAATATGCCCCTATACAAAGCAACGAGGTCTCGAGAGGTCAAATATTAGGCGTACGAAATCTAAGAGGTTCGATGGGCCAGATGTTGTTGCCGGCCGATCGTCCACCAATCATAGCCCCGTGCAATAACCCGGCCATGGTCACTGTTCCAACCAATTCGACTATGACCACTCCTATCACGCCGGATGCTCATTACGCTAAAATCGAGGATCCTGTATCCTTGGTGAATGACAAAACAAGGGAAAACGAGAGGCACGGTGTCGTGGACAGGGGGACCACGGAATTTCAAACTGTCCCGGACAACATGTTAACCACGATTAATGTTAAGAAAAATGTAAAAGGCGTGAAACTGGTTGGTATGGAGGGTGGCACGTTGAGGAGGCCATCGTTGCAGGTGAGCGAATCCAATGTCACTTCCTTATGATTCCTACATTCTACCTTTTCTATTATTATTTTAAATTCTCTCTCTCTCTATATATATATATATATTCTCTGGTTATATTATAAAATTGGTTTATGTTGATTTTGTATTGTTGTTGGATTAAACTTTTTCTTTTTTTTACCAAAAACAAGTTTTGATTTTCTAGTAATTCCTCTCATCAACTATCCTTGTTCCTGTTTCCTTGACGTCGAAGAGGAATATTTTTTAAGTTTTGCAAAGTCTCCTTCCTTTTTTTCTCTTGTACTTTTATCGCGGTGTTTCGTTGTTGTGGTACACTCATAGGATAGAAAGCTGAGGTTTGATATAAAGCGTCTTTAGGGCACGTTCTCACCGACACCGTCGGTCGAACTTGTCCACATATTGGACAGAAGGCAGAGCAGCGGTTCTTATGGGCCTGGCTCCCTTTCTCCCGTTCCTATGGGAGTGGAGGCGTGCAAAACCCATGGAACGGCGTTGGAGGGACAGGGTGGGAACGAACATTGCAGGATTAAAAGGGGCATCGTCAGGCATCACAGGTATCTATATAATTTATCACGATATTAATCAGTGTTAATCAGAGAGCTTAAACAGAAAGATTCACCACGAAATCTATCCACTATTCGTTATTCGAACACCCCTCTCCGATTATACGTTCAAACGTTTGCGCAGCTTCAACGATACGGGAGACCGTGCACTGACCACACTTGCCAGGCAACCGACCTATCCATCCATGCCACTGCGTTCCGAGGATTGCCGCATGACATTGGTTAAGAAGGACAGAAGAACGTCGACGATCGCACGACACGGTTCCATGACGAACGAGAAAGAGTTGAGCGGTTGTATGACCGGGCTCGTAGTGTGCAGCCCCACTTACAACATGTACAGCTCGGCTGTGAAAAATTCAAATTACTTTGTAACCGACGACGAGGCGGTCAGCAGGTTTTAGAAAGTCGTAAGCAAAGGAAGGACCAAGGAAAGGACAATCGAATTATCGCCCCCAAAAATCGAGTCGTGAGAAAGATATGCCCGATCGTGTCTTTTTTTATCTATACGATCCTATATATTTTTCTCCAATGGTCGTACAACTTTACCACTGCCCAACTTTTACGACTTTTCTTACTTACTAGGGAGTTTACTATCTAAGTTTTTTTTTACTAATTTATAATTTTTTTAAGATTATCCCAAATTTATTCGCGAGGAATTTGAATTTTCACGTCGTTCCGTTTGCGGTATTGCGAAGACAAGTTGACCCGATGAGAATCTGTGTAAAATTAGTGACGAGAAGAGAGAATTTGAAATCGTACATGGAAATAACGAAGATTTGAAGAGTTTAATTGTTGTGTTACGTCGTGATACGATATCTATAACCGAGCCACTTGATTTGTTGAAGATTCGAAGAGATTTGGAAACGCAATTTAACGATGATCTTTCGTGTACATAACCTCAAATATTGTTGGGGTTACGTCGTTTTAATTACGAATTATTTGAAAACCGCAAACGGTCCGTCCATGACTTTCGTTTTCGCTCCTTTCGAAAGAATCGTTCGTTTTCGGCCAAATTGACGATGGAATTATATCCTTAAAGCTCATCTTTAGAGAAATTAAGATAAGGTTTTATATAGATAGCGAACGGTCAGAAAACGATCGTAGATATTAGATATAAACGAGACAAGTTTCGGTCGGAGCGATTAATATTCCATTCGTGGAGCCGAAAAGTCATTACATTTTATCAGATTTATTGGACGAATCGTGGAAACAGCCGAATTTTTCGATCTCGTATTTACACGTGAACATCCCATTGAAAAATTGCGAGCTTTTTCAACTCATCTTTATTCACCTGTTTCAAGGTTGTTCCACTTTCATCCAATAAATTTTCTTACTCCTCGTATTTTAATGTGGAAATTTCCGAGGAAGAAAAAAATCAATCGAAAGATTCATACCGCGATTCACTTGTCGCCATTTCTTTCTCTACCAAAAGTAAAGGATTACAATCGAAATTTTGGAAATATCTTGCGCGATTCATATTTTTCTCGATTTGGAATCAAATATCTAAAAAAATGAATTTCACAAATGTGATCGATAATTTTAATTCCGATAATTAAATATTAACATGCGAATTAGCGTTGGGTGAAACGAGAAAGAGAGAGACAGAAGTTAAGAACGTACATTTTTCCCGGAAAAAAATTCTAGTCATTATCTAGTGATTTTCTAGTCCGTTGAATTCCCTTTCTCAGACTGATTCTATCCAGAGGATCGAAATAACCGATAAACGGTTTTTCAGAAAGTAATTAATTTTTCTTTTTGTACAAAAGAAAATCCAAGAGCGAACGAGTGATCATCTCTTTTGCGTGATTGTGTAGATAGAGCGATTGATATTAAATCAAGGATCTTCGACCAGTTCGCGTGTATGAAAGCGGGGGGGAAAGAGAAGAGAAAAGAAAAAAGAAAAAAAAAAGAGGGAAATCTTTGAAAAACACGATTATGTATTTAGATAATTATGTACGAGATACGTAGCTTTAGTCGAGTTTTAGCTGTGACACAGTGAGAGAATTGGTGTAACGCCGCTCCGCCATTTCTAATGTCCAGAAAAGTAAAGGAGCGAGAAGTGAGGGATAGTTGAAGAGAAATAGAAGCAGCAGCATGAGCTTCGCTACTCGAAGCCATTCTTCAATTTCGTTTCCAGCACGAAGAAAAATTTCAAAATTGAACAGAACTCGGAATGCATTTTTATTTTTTATTTTTTTTTTATAAACATCTTTTTCTCACTTGAATCTCTATAATTTCAAAACTATAAGGATTTTTTGTAAATTTATATTCTCTCGGATTGTGTGGTTTTTCATTCTTGAATTTGCTTAATTATTTATTAAAAATTCATTGTTATGTTCTCGGGAAAAGAAAAGGAGAAGGGACAAGCGTTATTTTCCTTCGAGCCGGAAACAGGTCAGGTAGGTGAAAGGGAAAAGGGATGTGAAGAGTTTCCGTCGCTCAACCTACTTTTTCGTACTCGTGAGGGAAGGTTAAGCTGCTGGATATAGAACGTCCAATGTATTACGTGCGTAAATTTATGATATTCCGATTGACGAAGAATAACGATATTTTTCCACCGATTATACATCTAGTCTGTAGGATTAATAAACCGTAAACTGTAAATCGTAGCTGTACGATGTACACACACGTGCGCGCATGCGCGCGCATACACATATACATGGAGGTTTCTCTCACGTGTCAACCGATGTAACGATAGCGAGAAAACTTACTGTTATATACGAAACCTCCATTGGCTCAATACCATGTGGCAAAAAAAAAAAAAAAGAAAAAAAAAATTTTTTCGTAGAGTAAACCCATTCGATCTTTCGCACGGAATCGTGTGATATTATTATTATTGGTATTTTTCTTTAAAAAGAAAAAAAAAAACAATTGTAGAGAGAAATCAGTTTAATTATGCGATAATTTTATGGGATAAAAAAATTTTATAATTAGATTTTTTTTCCAAACTTTGGTATTTTGATATATATACATATGTACGATTAAAGAAAATAATTGATCATTTAATTAATTTAATTGATTGAAAACAACTCGGTTTTGAATTTTTTTCATTATACAGGTTCTAATGCGGAGAATGTAATGGATAGAAGTAGTTATAGCATCTATTTAATAATATACAAATGATAAATGAAATCAAGAAGTTCTAAACATTTTTTAAAATTTAATTTTTCTTTTTTTTTTAAATTTAAAATTTAAATTCAAAGTTAAAATTCGAAAGCAAGTTCAAATATTCAAAACAAAAAATTTATTAAATTTTCTAGATTTCTAGAAATTTAGATTTAGAATTCTTAATTATACGATATATTTCTTGAATTTTAATATTATATTTAATTCATATACGAATTTGCAACTCTTAATTAGAATCTTAATTAATTGAATTCTTTTAATAATTTTATTTTTTTTTTTATTTTTAAAAATTCAATATAAGATGATAATTTCAATTTTTTTCATCTATCCATTATATCTTATCTTATATTATTATTATTATTATTATTAATTTTTTTTTTTGCTATATGCTATAGAATGTCGATTTTTTAATTTTCCGTATTTTTATAAAAACAATGATTAAAATCTTATAAACGTCGGGAGATGAACGTCGAAAACCTATATCAGTATTATTAAAATATACAGAAAAGGATTCGAAACTTAACAATCGATTCCTGGGGGACAAGCCTCGTGAAGGATCCCTATGGTCTTTCATAGTGATACTTAATCGTTAAGATAGAATTATTCATAATATAATATACTATTCGCACTATGTATTTGCGATTTTTTTTACGTATTTAAAAATTATTACTATTTATGTTATAATTTCATTTTCTTTTTTGAATTTCATCGTTGATTTTAAATTTTAATTATGAATAACAAAAAAGAATTAATATTAAAATTAGCTTAAGTAAAATTTTTTAATTTTTCTTTTTTTTTTAATCCATAATAAAAAAACCTTATTTAAAATCAAATTTAAAGCTTAATTTAAAATTAATTGTTATTTAACCTGATTTTTTTTTATTCTTTTATAAGATTTTCAAATACATAGTTACGATATAGTGAGTAGCCTTCCGCCTTTTATGTTCAAAGTTTAAGTATAAATCTCCATTAACATTTAGCTTTATATCATATATCGTCACGTAAAATGCACTGTAAAATGAATATGAAAAACATTTTGTTCTTTCGAGTTGCCGACACAATAAATAAATTGTGTTGAAACGTGAATCACGTGCCAAATTTTAGGATAAATGAAAGTGTACTGCATACGTACGCTTATAATACCGATACACAAATAAATTATATAGGCTTGCCTTTTAAGGATCGTTTATTATCGTAATCGATTGTCTCGATTCAACCCTTATTGGGCATAATTAAACAATCTTTTAACTTAAATTAAACTCAATTCTTCATTTCCAATTGAAAAAAAAAAAAAAGAAATAAATTTCTAATATCTTTATATGATGAAATAAATTTATAAGTTTTTTTCTTATGAATATTTTAATTTATTCAAGATCGATATGGATATTTTTTCCAAATATTATAAAGAATATTTTTCATCACATTTCGCTCAAATAGGATTGTACAACTCGTGTAATAATCAACGCTTCGAGCTCCTTTTCAATATTTTAAAATCATATTTTTAATAATAAATATTTATTATTAAATGAATATTATTATTTTTGTTGTTAAATTTTCATTCTCATAATTATTTATAATTTTTTTTTATTTAATATTAAAAACTAAGATTAATACATAATACGTAAGATTAATAAATACAATTAAAAGCTCGAAGCGTTAATACAAGTTACGAGCAAAACGTAGGATTTGAATATTTTAATTAATTTACAAAAAGAAAAAATCGCGTAATTAAAAGTTCCATTTTTTTCTCTATCATCTAACTTCAAGTTACGTGATTTTTGCTTATCTTTATAGAAATCCTTCGAATTGCTAATAACTTTAAAAAAGTACATAAAATGTATAAAATGAGATTCCAACTTTTACAAGTAGTAATTCACGTAAAAATCATTCTTTGCAATAGTTAAGAGCAAGCATAAGAAAATGCAAAATTATTTCTTTCTGGTTGCTCGTAACTATTGTCTTATTTGTACTTGTACTTCAATATAGTAAACATTGAATAAGTTGTCAAATCTAACTATTGGGCGTAAATATTTATTTAATGCACTATGACATTCCATATGTTTATTTTCAGTCTTTATTCTTTTTCGCTTATTTTTTTTATAAAAGAAATTTATAATTTTAATCGATATAAATTTTTGTTCATTAATATTTAATTTGGATTTTGATTTTCAAGCACTTATCCAATGTTTACCGTAATTGCACAAATTGAAATACAATTGTTGGAAAAACTATAACCTAATAATTGGTAGATGAATAATGTTTCAAGGACTTAATAACGACAAATGACAGTATAAGCATATTAATTAACTTTAATCATCAATTCAAATCGATTTATTTCTGAATGATTATATCCTAATATATATCATTTTAAATATCGGAATATGTTTCCAATGATTGTATCTCAATTTATGACTTTGTCGATTATAAAAATCGAAACATTATTGTAAAAAAAAAAAAAAAATATAAAGCTCAAAGTGCCGAATAAAGGGAAATACATGTATATTATTTTAATATTTATTCATATTTAAAAATCATCTATTTAATTTCCTTTCTTCATAATATTTATTCGTTGGTATCGATATTAACAATTAAAATTATAATGGAAATATTTTAAAGATATAAAAATATTTTGTATCTCATATAATACTATTACTCATCTAATTACAATAGAATACTATTTATTTGAATCTATTAGAAGACAAATAGTTTATATATGTAAGTAAATTTTATATAATAATAGTTGATTCTCCCCATATCTTACGATTTCTTATTAGAATAATGAAATTTGAACTAAATAAATTATTTAATATAAAAGTAATTAAAATTTTATTTTACTGTATATTCCAATATGATATGCTATTTGTATCATATCGTTTAAATATGAAATATATTTAAATCTAATTATATATATATTTTTTTTATTTAAATATGATGTGATGATAAAATATTATTAAAAATTAAACCTTATTAAAATAAATGTAATTTTACAATAATGAAGATATTTAGATTATTATGAAAATATTATTAATAAAATATTAAAATATATTTTTTTATAAATAAAATCAAAAATATAATATTAAATTATTACTTAATTCATTCAGTGCATAATTAATTAATAATTATTATTAATTAATAATTATTACAGCTTAATATGGTATTTTTACAGAAAATTATATATCATGCAATTACAATTATATCTTTAAGATATATAATTTTCACATATTTATACAATGTTTATGTATAAATATCAAACTATAAATGTATCTCTTAATATTTTATATTTATTATTTTAAATTAGTAACATTTTAAACTTAATATATCGTATGTTTAATTTTATGAAGATTAAAATCATTGAAATTATATAAACGCAAATTGCAAATATTACATACAAAATTATGAAAAATATTCATATGCAACTGCAATAAAT